AGATGTTCCTAAGAAATAACCTTCCCCAGCATGCAGGGCATGGGGACGAAGCCACGAGCGAGCACCAAGGATGCAGATGGCAACTCGCCACCCTTGTAAGGGGCAGCGTGGTGGTCACAGCTGCCCTGGGACCAGCCCTTCTCAGGCCAGTGACCTGCTACGGACCCCAGTGTGGCCAAGGAAGCACCGACAGTGCTCGCTGAAGGAGAAATGTCCAGCAGTGCAGCTCCAGCAAACACTCCAAAGGGTATTCGAGCAATTCTGGCAGGAAAGAAGCTTGAAAGTGGAGGTCAAAATCATTCCACAGAAAAGACAGCATCTCTGCCTGCTTTGCAGACTGGGAAACTGAGGCAAAAGGCAAAACCATTTGCTTGGTCTCAGCCAGCTGCAGAGCAGGCAGGCACCAGCGGCCGGGCTCCCAGTTTCCCCCTAACCAGGCTGGAAATGACACGAAATCCTTAGCCCAACCTTGAAGACTTGTCATGACAGATTGCAACTATTTAGTCTGTCGTCGGCCCTCGCAGGAGTCACCGGCGCACACCGCGGATGATCCGATGGATACATCGCCCCGCTGGCACGGCCCTGATGGCTGTCACTGCTTCTGCTGCTCTTAAGTTAAAACCTCTGTGTCCGTTTGCTACCCAGATGGCACTTAAGGTTTCGTGGTGGGACCCAGAAGCCATAGGCTCAGGAGGAAAATTCCAGCCTCTGTCTGAGGTACTTAGAAATCATTTCTCTTCCCCTCATGCATCGGCCCAGATTTCCATCCTAATTCCCACTTTCCCCCTCTGCATGGGCTTCAGGAGCCTTGGAGAGGAGGGCGCCGTGGCTGGGCATTGGCCAAGGGCCTTGCTCACGCAGCTGCACAAGGCGCCTTGTCACCAGCACCCACGTGCACGCCGGCGCTTCGGTGGGCACTGGGCTGGGTGAGGTGCTGTTACTTATTAAAAACACTTCACTTCCTTCCCAAAGGAGACGCAGGGGCTGGAGCTGAAGGACTCTCCTCCCAGCTCGCACACATCAGCTTGGCCAGCCTGGTGCCCAAGGGTCTGAAGACAAGTCCTGCTCATCAGAGCTTGGCCTGGCTCTCCAAGACACCGACATCAGACTCCCGCATTTCATTTCCATCCACTTCTTTTTCCATCCCCAGGGTATATAAAACTCCCAACACAAGTGTCCAAATCGAAGTGCCAAGGGAACAGCCGGACACCATGAGCGAGCAGCAGGAAAACGTGGGGTGAGGAAGAACGTGGCCACCCACCACGATGTCCCCGCAGACGTCCCCAAACCCATTCCCAAGGATGGCTGTGATCCCAGGGCCCGTTGCATGGATGCTCTCGCACGCAGGGGCCCAGCACTCAGCCCCTCAGCGCCCAAACAAGTGTTTAATCCAGCCATAAACCTGTTGAAGGAATAAATTAGTGGTACAGCAAGGTTATGCTTTGAGGATGTCTCTTCTACGGCGAAGATATCCGCTCTACCCCACAATTAGGTTTATATTACAATGTGGCTTTTAAGGCTCACCGTGCTGAATAAAAATTTAGGCAATTAGGGATCTTATTTCTTAGGAAGAACTGCTTGCTATCGTATATTAATACAGATTTTGCTCAATTAAAATTGCTCGCAGTCAGCAAAAACAATTTCTGCACTGTAATGAAATAATGAAATAATTATATGCAAGGGAGGACTTCTGATCTTTTTAATTATTCTATTCTTCATTTTTAAAAGGGCTATTTGAAAACGCACTCTTATAATTGATTGCTATAAATCAGTCAGAGGCATTCTAAGGATCATAAATATTCTAACTTTTAAAAGACAAAGAAATGCTAAATATTCAATGAAATCCTTCAATATTCAGAAAATTTAATCTAGGGTAAAAGGATAGGCTGCTCTTTTGAAAATAAAAAGTAAATTTGTTGTCCTGTGAAAAATGAAATATCTTGAATGTCAGTAACAGAAATGGAATTAACAAGAGATCTTTTTTATTGTTTTTTAAGGTCATTAGGCGGCGAATTCTATAATTATGGAAATTGTCAGTCCAGTTCTGTCGAATGTTTGCTCCCATCCATAAGGTATTGGAATGTGCAATCAGTCTCTCTCGTGGGAAAGTTAGGTCATAACTGTAAGTGTACCAGCAAAATTGAATTAAGCAAAGAGATTTCATTAGTATTTATAGCCAGAAGGCATCTGTAAAAGTACAGGGCAAAGAAGTTATGTGGAAGTCAAAGGAGAAAAAAAAATGGGTTTCTGGTGACAAAGGCGAATCTGAAAGAGATATAAGTGTATAATGAATAAGAGCTATTGAGCGCTGCTCCAAAGAGGGAGTTGCGAAGATGTCAAATATTGATTTTCTTGTGTATGCCTTTGGACTACATATGTAATTGTTTGGATTTGCTGTCTTCATGATACAACAATATTTGTTGTTGAAGGTTAAAAAGCAGGGTGTGAAACAACCCAAAAAGTCGGAAACATGTTGGAGAATAAGAATGATCCTACAGGAGGATTTTGTGAGCCGCAGCCCGGGCTTCCTAGCAAATAAATACTTTTATGGCAAGCGAAGCGTCCGTCCACTGAGGGCATCGCACCTCCGATGCCGGGAGCACACGTCGTGCGCGCTGCCATTGAACCGGATTGCGTTTATTGATTGAAAATATACAATTTGCCTGCAATGAGCTTCTCTGATGTTTTGCACCAGGAAAATATTCCGTGACTGAATGTGTGTGTGCAAGATGCTGTACGTGCTTTCATCCTACTCCATATATATACAGGTATGTATATATCCTCACAGAGGGGTTATTGATATAGGAAAGTCAGCGGGTCATTGGGATCTTACTGCAGAACAGAGAATGCAATGCCTGAAGCTGGCCGGTGTCTTCATGAAAACTAAGTTCTGAAATACATTAATTCCATAGAATTAAATGACCTCTGAGGTGAGGTGATTCAACCTCTTCTTCAGGGTTCGAGCAGGGAGTCGAGGACTTTACTTTTAGGCACGCCAGGCTCTGGCAGCGCAGAAGGAGAGAAATCTCAGCACGCTCCACTTCCAAACCCTCGCAGGGCTACATATATATATGTATATTTAGATATTTACATTTCTTTAGGCAACACAAAAGCACCTTTTCCCCTAAATTCAATAAATTCTCCTTAAGAACTCATCTCTGGACTACCCGCTGGCTCCCTAGCGTCACACCAGTGACAAATGAGACATGTGTTGGCCAACGCAAAGCAAAACTATCCCGTCCCGAGCGGAGGGGCTGGAAGTTTTTGGAGCCCTGCTGTCAGGACACAATGTTGCCTAAGCAAGCATTAAGAGATTATGGTAATAACAGCCGTGCTTACGCCAAATAAAAGGTTTCATTAATCAAGCCGTATTGAGATAAACCTGTCAGTGGACAGAGGAAACCAGAAATCAAATGCTGTGGAAGTTCTGACAGATTGTTAAATAGAAACCCTTTAAAGCTGAATTTAATTTACTGTGATATTACAGATATCTATGCATCGATAGGCAAGTGCAGATTGAGTTCAGAGGTCGGCTCTGGTGCTTGAAAAATAAACGCGCAGAATGAAACAAAAGGTGACAGTTACCTTTGCCAGAAATTACAGTTTATTAAGCAGAATAAGAGGCCCTCATCTGCTCCGCATTTGCCACGAAGGCCGAGGCCGGGCCGCGATTCACTGCAGCAGGTTGGTCAGCACGGCGTTATGGGAAAAACTTTTCTTCCTTGAAGTTGGATCTACAAACTTTCCCGGAGGAAACTGAGAGCAAACATTGCACCAATGGTCCCGTTGGGCCGGCTGCAAAGGCGCCGGACCCCCGAGCCGCTTACTGACCCATCCTGGCAGCTGGAAAATTAAATCCTGACCCTGTTTAAAAGCACTCTTGACTATTTTTACACCAAAGTCTCACATAGACAAGCATAAATCTTTTTGCCATTGACAGAGAGGCTTCATATCTAACGCTAGCATTTAAGGCAAACGTAAATGTGGAGAATCCCTTATGTCCCAGAAGGGTTTCCTTCGGCTTGAGGATCTCACCCTTGCTCAATGTACAGCTTTATCATGTAAAGAAGAGCCTTTCTTTGGAGAAAAAAAAAAAAAACATTTTTCTGAGAGCATGGAATTCCTTAATGTGTTTTTCTTTTAAACGGTTGGCAACAAGTGGAAGGGAAAATTTGGACTAAGCCGTTGCCGAGGCTCCCGTTGGCTCCACCGAGCGCAGCAGTAAGTCCTTGCATACAAGCAGTCCTACGTGAAAAGTAAATATGTCAGCGCTACATGATAGGAACATATTAATCTGCCAAACTTGTATGAGACGATATCTATAGGCAGGACTCGAAAACAGAGCTGTATATTACATTTCACACGTATCAGAAACATGTAAAATATGCGGGCCGTGCCGGCGAGAGCTCTGCCGGACACGCATCCTCCTCCCAAAGGCAGCCGGGAAGACGGTCGCCGGCTCCGGACCCTCCGCCGAGGAGCCCCGGGCAGGATGCGGCCCTCGCAGGCAGCTCCATCCCCCCGGCACGCGCACGGAGCTCGGCAGCCCACTGCATTTTATTTATTTAGATGAGTTTACAAAGCAATTAAGACGTTTTGGCAAACACCAAGGTGCAGATTTCCTCCCTTATGATAGATCATTCCCGGCTTTCTTTCTTTTTTTTCCCCCCCATCTCCTCCTGGGCAGATGAATGTTTCATGGTCCTGCAGGCATATTTCCTCTCTGTCCAGTTGCTCGGGCTCCATCTAAGCAAGCCTGTTGAACTCTTCCGTCATGCAATATTTTAACAAGAGCCACTAAATAAGCTCTGTTCGCAGGCTGTAAATGCTGCCTCCACACTCCAACAACAACAAAAAATAATGTGTTTTAAGGAATAAACCCTGCTTCTTCCCACCTTCCCTCTCCGGGCAGGGAACGCCTCCCTGTATCCCAGACCCGGGCTGAGCTGCTCGTCCTGCTCGGGTGGCAGCAGTAGCAGAGCCTCCCGCCGGGCCGCGCGATGCCCCCGAGGCCTCAGGAGGCTGCTGGAATCCGCTGCGTTTTGCGGCACTCGTTGGAAGGCGTTAAAGCACGTTAATAAACCGTTTAATCGAGATTCCTCTAATAAGGATCTAAATTGGATTTCTGGAAGCATCGACATGGTCAAAGGGACACTGAAGCTTCCTGGGGAACGGTGGGAAGCAGTTCCAATGGAAACCATCAATGGTGGCCAAAAAAGGGGTGGTTTGGACTAAAAAAAAATAAAAGAGATTTTGTTTCTGAAGCTGCCATTTCTTTTTCCAAGACCCTTGGAAACGGCCTCTCCAAAGGCATCTGTTTTTCAAAAGAAAAATGGTTGCAATAACCCAATTCTCTACTTGAAAAGTGGGGGAGGACAACGTTTGACCAGCCCGTGAAAGGGGTGGAAGGGTCCCCACAAGGCTCTGCCACCAAGCCAGGTCATGCAGACCTTCCGCAGCTTGTGTTTTCCTTACGGAGAAAAAGAGAGTCCCCTAAACTGCATTACGGTGCTCTCCAGGTAAAGAGTGACCTGGTTTGCCAGGTGAAGAGGCGCACGGGGAGTTTTCCAAACGGACCTGATTGCATATATGCCTAGGCTGGGTTTTAACCTGCACGCTGGGTAAAATTGAGGCGCCGGCAGAAGGCCCATAAAAGGCCCGTGCGGCGCTTACGTCCCACCAAGGCGCCGTTTGCGGCGCGCGCCTGATGCATGGGCCCTGCGCTGGCCTCCAGCGCGAGCGGGGATGCCAGCCGCTCCCTATCGATAATAGTCGACGTCTTGGGGAAAAATATTATCGGAGTAACTTTATTAACGGTCGCGATAACTCACTGCTTGCCTCGCCGTGGTTAATAAAGGGAAGCGGGGGTGTTGCGCGCCAGGCAGAGCAGCGGCTGCAAAGCCAGCGCGGGGAAAGCAACGTGCGGAGGCTCCTCCTGAACCGGGAGTCAGGAGTGCACAGGGGTCTGGTAACACAGGCATATCCTGAATGCAACAGGAATGTTTCTTGGGTGGGTACCCAGGGGATCTACCCTTGTAATGGGTAAAACTCCAGTGTGTTGGTGTTGGCAGATGGGTTTATTGGGGCTTTGCCCCCATGCAGAGGTGACGGGATGGGGCAGGAGCAGCTTTGGGAGGGACAAGGGGTTTTGTCACTTAGCGATGCTTTAGATGGGGACAGCGAAGCTGGCAGAGGCCTTGTCACTCCCAGCCTTGCTGCTGTTGAGGCTGCGGCTGCTGCAGGCCCCAGTGTTGGCATGAAAACCTGCAGTGCAAAACGGGCTAAATGGGGCTCGGGGGGAGCCCTGGGGGGCCCAGCCCTGCGCGGGGCAGTGAGGACACGTGGCTCATGTGCACGGGTCCACGGTCACCCACATTGTCGCCTCGGCCCGTGGTGGCACTGGGGGGGAACAGCCGGG